CTATAAATACGCAATCTGTTTTTAGGAATTATATTTAAAAAGAAATCTTATTCAAATCATTTTGCAATTGAAATTTGAAATTAAAAAATGTTATTAAGGTTATAAACTGTATAAAACAGCACAAAACAGTATCACAAAGTTGTTTTAAGCTCTTTATATTTTTAAAACAATTTTATTGTTGTTTCATATCTTTTTACAATAACAATTAAATACTCTTTAAAAATAACATGTGTTTTATCGTCACCATGAATAATTAAATAGTTTTCTATGACTAATTGAGGAGTGGACTTGCAAAACCAGATTGTTCACTTTTTTTTCATTCTGAGATAATGGCAAAAAATGTTTTCCAGTAAACCAAATAGCTTAAAATCAAAAAATTAAAAGCTAAAAAAATAGATATCACTAAAAGAATGTTGAGAACAAAAATTTGAAAACTGTGCTCTTTTGATATTTTTATTACAAAATAAAAAAACGTTTTATCTGGTTTTGCATGCCAATTAATTTTTTTATCTGGTTTTGATCGAAAATTTATTTCTAACTGGTTTTCAGAAAAGCTTTATGAAGTCAACTTGACTAGTGACCATTTTAATAATCAATATAATTGGGCAAAAACGCCCCTCTGCCTTCGAAAATAAGTAATTCTAATGCTAGCTATGTTTATAGGATTGATGAAATTAAAACTCATTGTAACTGTTTAAACATGGCTTTTTTAATTTTAGTGAGTTTTTTTAAATGTGATTTTTTTCTTAAATAACGTCCTCCAGTTTTTTAAAACGTTTTTAAATCAGAATGTTGATTAGATAAAAATTTTGTCTTGTTTTGCATAGACAATAATTTTTTTTTTAACTGATTTTGCACAGACTGGATAAATAAAGGCAGGTAAAATGTTATTAAAATAGTGGTTTTTAAGTTTAAATTTTATTTGTAAAGATGTAGCACTACAAAAAAACATTGCTAAGTTTTTTTTTGTAAAAAAGTGAATTATCTGGTTTCGCAAGTCTATTCCTCAATTAAAGTGGTTAAAATGTAATATTTGCGATTTTATTCTTACTTTTTTACTTTTACTTTTTTAAGTATCAATGTTATGTAAAAACAATTACTAAAAAAATATTATTAGTATTAAATACATTACTTGCTCACTATAACTGCAACTTAACTTTAAATTATAAGTAACTTAAGCTGTAAATTATAACAGTAACTTAAGCTGTAAATTATAACAGTAACTTACGCTATTTTCAACTCCGTCAAACAAGAAAAT